GGACAGGTGGTTGCATGGCTAGATAGCACAAGTTTGGACACCTCAGACTCAGAGAGCTGAGAAAAAGAGGTGAGTGTGTGTGGTGTTGGTGTTGTATCTTGCGTGTTTTTTGTAGGTGCGGCAAATTGAGCACTGATTTTTGCAGTTTTGATGCAGAAGAATGTAGCAAAGTCATCAGTAGTAAGTGTGGAGGATGCGGGTGGAGGAGGAGGATAGAGGAGGGAGGAAAATGTTTTAAAAAGTAGGCGAGGATTAGTGGCATTGTTGATTTTCAGACGGTAATACGTCTGCTTTGCAGAAGTAACCTCAGCTGAGAAAGAGGACAGAAGAGTTTGGTATGTTAAGAGATGTGCAGGATTTTTAGTTTTCCGCCAAATTCTCTCCGCAGCCCGAAGTTTTGAACGATGCTCACGGAGAGCATCCGAGAGCCAGGGTGCAGGAGGACTGGCACGGGCTGGCCTGGATGCAAGAGGACATAATCGGTCTAGACATGATGCTATTGTGGAGCAGAGTGTATTAGTGGCACTGTTCGAATCAAGTGCAGTGAGTTTGCGAGATGGAGGAAGAGAGTCTGAAACAATGGTGGATAGTCTATTGGGTGAGAGAGATTGTAGGTTTCTGCGAAAGGTAACCAGTGTTGGAGTGTGTGGCGGCTCAGGAGTAATGTGGATGTTGAGAGACAGAAGGAAATGATCAGATATTTGTAGTGGAGTTACTATTGTTTGATCAGTGAAGCAGTGTCGTGTGTAAATAAGGTCTAGCTGATTACCTGATTTGTGGGTAGCAGAAGTAGGTGCTCTTTTTAGGTCAAAAGAGGCAAGCAAAGTCTGAAAGTCTGCAGCTTGCGGTTTGTCAACGTAAATGTTGAAGTCACCTAGCACCAATAAGGGAGTGCAAAATTAGAAAAAGATGAGAGAAGAACATCCAGTTCATCTAGGAAGTGACCTAATTTACCTGGTGGGCGGTAGATGACAACCAATGTACTTTACATGATCTTCTTGATAGCATATAATAATTGACCTAAAGAGAAGTGAGTCTGGTTGATTTGTTTGTTTTTTTATTTTGAGGGTTAAGTAGGAAGGTGGGTGCCATTTTGTTTTGGAATCAGTTTTCCCATGTTTTTGTTTAGTAAAGGGAGTTAGATTGTTTATGTAATTTTGTTACTTTTATTTCAGATTAGCAAAAGAATATATTAGGGGTTAGCTTGTTTCTGTTTGTTGTTTTGGCCTTGCCCCCTTCTGAATTAATACCCTGTTTTTCTTTGTTATACTTTGATATGTAAATAAACTTCTGTTTTTCTTGATTTGATCTTGTGTCTAAGTTTTCTAACCATTCTGTGTGAGGAGATGAGTTTTCTCTCTTATTATTCCAGCCATTGCACATCCACCACCAATCATTTATTTTCTGTTGCGGTCACATCCCTAGACCCAAAAAGACCGTATCAGGCTCTAAACGCGTATGATTGGCCCGTGATGAACGAGTGACTCAGACCCGATAGAGGACTCGAGAGATGAATGGATCATTTCTTTTTCTGGCTCTAAACGCGTATGATTGGCCCGTGAGGAACAAATGACTCAGACCTGATAGAGGACTCGAGAGATGAACAGATCAATTGTTTTTCGGCTCTAAATGCATATGATTGGCCCGTGTAGAACGAGTTATTCAGACCCAATGGAGGACTCATGAGGTGAACGAGTCAAATCTTTTTCCGGCTCTAGAAGCGTATGATTGGCCCGTGATGAACGAGTGACTCAGACCCGATAGAGGACTCGAGAGGTGAACGGATCAATTCTTTTTTGGCTCTAAACGCATATGATTGGTTTCTGCCTTTCCGCGATGAACGACACGAAATGTGATGAAGACTTGAAATAACGATACCACCTGCACAAATGTGCGCACGCGCGAATTAACAAATCACTCCCTGAGAGGACTTGTAGTTCCCGAGTCATATTGAAGATTTGTTTAAAATGAACGAATCGTTCATGATCGACCCATTACTAAACCTGATTTGGATACCTGCTCCAGTCGGGGATTGAACCTTGTGATCTACCCAAAGTAGGGCTGTAACGATACATGATATAAAATCGAAATCGCGAAACTCAGATTTACGATCCTGTGTAATAAGCGGTGTGATAAGGGAGAATCGCGACACACCCCGTACCTTTCCAATAACGTCACGCGTGCCTGCAAAAGTTGAGCTAGTTGAAGAAGAACGTGAGGAAACACTTTTTTCCCGCTCGACATTACGAGCACTGCTCCGTTTAAGCCCTCGCAATTAGCGTTTAACCGGGAGAGCTCGCATAGAGCTCTTAGTAAGGGACTGTCTGATTGTGTCAGGAATATCAAAAACAAAACCAACTTAACCCCTCTTGACAACAGACAACGGCAGAAACATTGCCAGTGCTGTCAAAGCATTGTTGTTAATGTGGCTGCGCAGAGAGGGATGGGCGTTCACCAGATGCCCCGACGCCTCTGCAGAGGAAACTGTTCTGTAACCGTGCTCTGCGCTTTCTGTTTAACCAGGAACTGTTTAAACTGTTTAAAGGCCAGGAAACAGGACTAAGCTTTCAGTTAAGATAAACACAGTTTCTATAGTTATACTTTATTTAGAGATAAAGGTATATGGCTCTGCATATAATCACTCTATCTTGCTGGAGTTTATAGCCGTTTCGCTTTACTTCAGGACGCATAATGCCGCTCTGAAGGTCTAATCGCTGTTTTAAGTTATCCAGAGCTGTATGAATGTACAAATCCTGAATATCCCAATATTATTAAATATTACAATTGTAGCAACACAGACAGCTACACTTATGCACAATCAATACCCAGCTGATTCATAAGAGGACCGCGCTTCTTCTCTTCTTTTTTCCTTGTCAACATAAAGGCAGTGAGATGCACCTTGTTTTCGGCTTATAAAGCATGTATGCAGATTAATGCAATAGCATATTTAAACAACAAAACTGTTTACAAAAAGTCTGCATAATCGCGCGTTGTTGTTGTCTTTTCATCACGCAGCGCGTGCACTTGAACCGCGAGGGAGAGAGAGGAAACCATCAGGACATAAACTTTAAAATAATGATTTCTATTAAAATGTAAAAGGTTTTGTGATTATAATAATAACAGCGGGGCATTAAATAAATGCATATTTTCCGTGGAGCGGGCAATTGTTGTTGGCAGTTGTTCTGTTCTTTTATTAATATGCTAGCATATAAAAATAAATCAGTATTTTAAAATGCAATATTTAATGTGTCAGACACAAAATAGACACGTCAATTTGTTTAATATAAAATTAATAGTAATCTGACCAGTTAACCGTTAATAACCGATTAATGAGCGGTGGTTGTCTGTTAGCAAAATTAACCGAAATGAGCATCCCTAGAAGCCATTTAATTTACTTTTTCTATGTACAGTAAGAGAACTTGATTGAAAAATTATTTTTAACATGCTTGAACCATCTACACTATGGAGTTTAGTTCTGTTTGGTTTTTCAAAAGTATTTTGTTACAAAGAAAACAAAAATGATATAATTTTATTTAATAAAAAATAGTTTTAAAAATATTTTTCCCCACCCCACACGAAAAAAAAAATCGTGATACGAATCGAATCGTGGGTCAAAAATCGTGATACGAATCGAATCGTGGGTTTGGTGTATCGTTACAGCCCTAACCCAAAGTGTTATTTATGGACATATTTATTGAACTAGTACTGTTATATATGCATTGAGTAGTTTCTGGTGGGCAAAAAATACAAAATATAACCTTAATTTTGCTTCTTTCTTTCTCAATTTCTCAAATTTTCTTCATTTTCTTGTGTTTTTTTCTTCCCCTTCCAAAACAGACTATTGTTCCCCAGCTTTAGCGGAGTCAGTAGAGGGTCCAGGGTTCAAGTACGTGTTCGGGCATGCAAGACTCTTTGTGGAGCCACAGCTTTTGCCGCTGAGCTATCGCTTGCTGAAAGTTTCATCTTGATGCACAACACGTGTACTAGTGTCTTGTAGTCATGGCTGAATGGTTAGGGTGATCAACTAGAAATCCATTGGGGTCTTCTCCCGCAGGTTCAAGTCCTGCGAACTATACCCACCTCCTGTTCCTTTTAAAATTGCAGCAGTCTACAATTGTTTGCATTTCCATTGTTTCTTGGGAAAAGCGTTGTGCTGGTAGGATGAGAAAAACAACAGTGTGTTTTCACTGAACAGAAAGGGGCACATCACACGAAGGAACAAACCACACAAGGGCCACAACAGCAGTCCCGTAGCTCGCCGTGCTCGTATAGTGGTTAGTACTCTGCATTGTGGCCGCAGCAACCCTGGTTCGAGTTCAAGGTGACATTGGTGTTGCATTCTGTGTTGCCATTTGTAATCTCCAGCCACCTTTTAGTGCAGGCTGTGCTAATGGCACGTCCTAAATGTTTATGTTTCCTAAAGTGTGGAAGACTAGGGATTCGATATAAGAAACAGGATCTTTGAAGCCAGCATGCTGTGTAGATAAGTACTGATCAAGTCATGCTTCTAAGGCATGGAAGGAATCTTTTCAATTGTTGAGTGTCCATTCATTGCCACAACAGCAGAAAGACCTTCTGCAGTTATCATTGGTCTATTTAATGTCTCCTACATGACATGGAGTCCAAACTATTGTGTTGTACTAATATCTACATCCATAAACCCAACCCCAAAGTAACCTGTCGTGTTTTAGCAACATCCACACCAACCATAAGCTTAAAACCCCATCTCACGATACACTTTAGAGTTCTGTAAAGGTCTGCGCCGACCACAACCCAAACCTTGCCTACTTGTAAATTACTGTTGTGGAGCCCCGATAGCTCAGTCGGGAGAGCATCAGACTTTTAATCTGAGGGTGCAGGGTTCAAGTCCCTGTTTGGGCGTTTAAGGCTCATTTTGTGGAGCCACAGCTTTTGCCGTTGAGCTATCGCTTGATGAAAGTTTCATCGGGATGCACAATACGTGTAATAGGCATGAAGACATGGAAGTTCAGGCTGTCTTGTAATCGTGGCTGAGTGGTTAAGGCGATGGACTAGAAATTCATTGGGGTCTCCCCGTGCAGGTTCAAATCCTGCCGATGTAGTAGTTTCTTTGTTTTTTCTCTTCCTAAATCAAACTCAGTCTGGAGGTTATGGATATCAGAAGAATATACTTTATTGTCGACAACAAAGGAGATTTTTCAGGAGACCCCCAGTTGCATCTCTGTTTGAAAAATTCTGTCTCACTCAAATTCTAGCCTGCTTAAATACTCTGTTTTTTCCTTTGTTGTACATATGTCACACAAGATCCCTCCTAGTTTAACCCTTGACTCAGAATTCCACCTCTGTCATCTGTTTTTCCCTTATTTCTACATATGTGACACAAATTCCACCTAGGTTAACCCCTGACCTCAATTTCCACCTAGGTTAACCCCTGACCCAAACCTGGTAACTATATAACTTATCCAGTTCTTTTGATATGGTAATTCTTCTAATGGTATGCAAGTCTACAAGCAGATTATACACATATAATTTAAATATATAGATTAACTTCACACTTTAAAGAGTATAAAATCCACTTCATATAATCCCTCCTCTTAAGACTTTAAGTCTTAATATTCTTGTTTTTTGGCCCATAGTGCAACTCCATGATCTAGCCCTTAGCCATACTACCTAATGAAAAATATATGTCACAGTATTATTACAAATGACCAAATCATGTAATTGCACTTTGGAATAGAATCAAGCCAAACCTTTGTTTCCTGTTTTGACGAGGACACAGTAAAAGACTTGATTCTATTTTGTTGATATCATAAAAAGTAGTATTTTAAGCATACAAGTGGTTATCTATTTGCTTCTGGGGGTCATGATTATTTACCATACAGTAAAGAGTAAAACTAAAACACTAAAATTAAAGTAAAAATCAACATGCACAATTTCATAATATATGGTCACAACATAATATTCTAATCTAACATCCACACACATAATCCGTAGAGTATGTTGATCTTCAGCCCAAATACTTTGCGTATCGTAGAGAGCCACCATTTTGGGGTAGAGGTTGTCTAGCACTTACACCCAAGGCATGGATCCTCTTCATCATCCTCTTCTTTATCTAAATGTTACAACCCCTGGGCAGTCTAGGGAAGTGGGGTTGCACACTTGATCAAGGATTTGTAATCCACAAAATTACTTTGGGTACAAAAAGAATTGAGTATCTGTAGAACCAAAATCCTCAGAAATAAATGTTGGGACGTTAATTATCCCGGACGAGCCCCCAAAAATGTTACAACCCCTGAAAAATCACTGGATTTCTTTATAGGTTCCTCTCTATCTGATCTGATTATTCATCTTTAGTCCTTAATTCTTCTTTGCTTTTAATTATTTCTTCACATTTGTAAAACAAATGTTTTCTGTTTTTTATTTTTAGACACTTTTCTTTTTCAAATATTATTTTAGTACATTTAGAATTGTTACTTTTTGACCTATTCAGTACTGTGAGTTCATTTCATTTTTTTTCATTCTCTTCAAGTATAAATCACTTTTCTGTCCTAATCTCTGACATAGCTTTTCTCTCAAATCTTAGTTTAGTTTACTCAAAATAAGTTTTCCCTAATTTTAACTTAAATACTTAACTTCGAACCCAAATTATTATTTTTCGTATATATATATTAACACACTCTATCATGTTTTAACATTTACCCAGTGTGATTTTCATCTAAATCACTATACCTTACTACAAATAGATGATGGCTTAGATCACATTATGTAGCTGACTTTGAGAAAGATGAAACAAGCATTTGTATTGCTCTTAAATACATACAAATTCTCTAAAGTCAATTATTTCTTCAAATTGTTACTGCTTTTTACTTTTTATCTTATCTGTTCAATGTGCCTATATTGTAAGCATATTTTAAACTTTTAATTTTATCTATGAAACAGTGGACTTATTTTTTCTATTTCTATTTTATTCTTTTTCCTTTCTGTAATTTGAGTTTTTAGCTCTTAGGTTTTCTTATACATTTTAAAGCTTATTTTGTTTCACATTTTATAATTAAATCTTCAATTAATCAATATTCATTTTTCAAGTTTTCTTTTTCTATTTTATTCTTAATTCAAGAACTAACTTATATGTTATTCGTTCATACTTATTTAGTAAATCTATTTGTTTATTAATATATTCTTTTACTCCATACTTCCTTTATCTCTATATATATTCATCACTATGGCTTCATTTATTCTTTTCCATTAGTAGAGTTTCAAACTCTTTTCTATATAATATAACTCTATTATTAGTATTTCCTCATTTCATTTATCTTACTACTTTATAATATATCTATTCATCAATAACTTATATTCTATCCACAATTATGTTAAAGTCTATGTCATTATTTTATCTAATAGTTTGATATTCTCTCTTTTACTCTCCTCTTCTCTGTTTTCCTTGTGTTGTAAATAGAAATAATCTATTTATTGTTCACACATGGACACCATAAATCTATCTCTTACCCCCATCCTGGGGCAGACTGTCTTTCACCTGTTGCTATGTAAAGAATTTAATTCTATTCAGCCTATTGTTCTTTTTTAACATATTTAAACTTAAAACACAAATATAATTTCAGAAAAATGTTTAACTAGTATATTCTTCTGCCTTTTCACTCTGTGTCTTTCAAATGCAACATGTTCCATTAGTTTTGATTTAGAAGACTCCTCCTTTATATCATAATCTATTCTCTTAAACTGAATAAATCACTATTCCTATTGTTCTTTAAATCACACCTCACATATGCAGCCCTCCTTTTATATTATAATATACTATAATCATTATTTTAACCTACTCCTTATTAAAAAACGTTTAAACGCATTCACACTTTTACTCTTATTTTTTTTCCTCTTCTCATTCACTCCTCTCCTCCACTTATGTAACCTGAACTGCATCACCCATCCTCATTCCAGTCAAGGAGGAGGAAGGGAGTCTTCTCTGCACACCAATGTGGACTATTTTGCCTAACCCGAAGCAGCAAATACACAAACACTACAATTAAATAAATACTCTACACTCCTCTTGAGTGACCTGTCCAAGCAGCCTCTAACCTTAGAGCGGTAACCACAGGATTTCTACATTTACTTTTAATTCTTTACAGCTGGAGAAACAGTTCAAGTGTATTTACCGTTACAAGCAGGTCCTGGCAGAAAAAACACAAACTAATAAGCATAAAATCGCTTACCGTTTTTTATTGTGGCCACATATTGGTGTTTTTTCTCCAGTCCAGCATGCACAGTAACACCAGTCCTGCTCCTTTCCAGCCCACCCAGGGACGCCAAATGTAGTGGTTTTCTTGTTTTTTCTCTTACTAAATCAAACTCAGTCTGGAGGTTATGAATATCAGAAGAATATACTTTATTGTCGACAACAAAGGAGAACTTTCATGAGACCCCCAGTAGCATCTCTGTCTGAAAAATTCTGTCTCACTTCTGTTCTGGCCTTACTTAAATACCCTTTTACATCTGTTGTTTTCCCTTGTTCTCCATATATTACACAAGATCCCTCCTAGTTTAACCCCTGACCCCAAATTTCCTGAGACACCTCAGGCTTTTTTACCACTCTCTTTTCATCCCTTTTTTATGACCCTTAGTTGATTCCTCAGGCCATTTCCCCCTTTTAACTCTACATAACTCTTTACTTGTTTTAATGGTATGCAAGAATACAAGCAGATTATACACATATAATTTGAATATATAGATCAACTTCACACTTTAAAGAGTATAAAATCCACCTCAACAGCAGCTTGTAAATGGGATGATTTGAATTAAAACTTTCTTGAAATTATTATAGATATTTTAATTAGTGTCAATGATCCCTTTGATGCAAATTCGAGTGACTATTTACCTCACAATCGCATAACATGTTTTATGTGGTTATGACAAATGGGGAAAGTCAAAATTTGTCAGCAACTTGTACAAACTGTTCTGCTTGATTTTGAATTATCTGCAGAATAATTTGGGCATGCATTCAGGGCAGCTTGGTGTATGTTTCAATCATGGCTATCAGCTTTTACAACAGTACTGCAAAATAAATTCTCAACATCTGAAGTGGATCTTAAATGGAAGTTCTTTTCTACTTAACTTCATTAAAATAAGTGTTTTAAGTCATGTTTATCAATTTGATTTATTTAGCACATCTGTACATACAATACAAACACCAAAATACATCTGTGCATGTTCATATATTATATGTGTTCACTGGCCAATGTTGTGAATAATTTTGTAAGACTTTTTCTCTCTTGTAAATAATAGTATATTAAAATGTCTATCACAATGATCATTTAAAATTATCTTTTCATTTGCAACAATGTATAAACTGCCAAAAGTTAGTGAATTTTGTTAGGCAATATAAATTTAATTTAGTTTGTATAGTGCATTTTCTTAAAAGGCTTTTTTACTTTTCATTATCAAGGTTTGTTTGTTAATTAATTTTGCAATTGTTGGTTTTGGCTTATTCACTTGTAGTTTAATTATTTCGAGCAAAATATGAAAAAGGGTTGGCTGTGTAGTACATCATTTTTTTTAATCCATGGCATGGGTCAGCTTTAAATGGCAATTTTTTTAATTACCCTTAACCAAATTGTTACTCAAATTAATATATATATATATATATATATATATATATATATATATATATATATATATATATATATATATATATATATTTATATATATATATATTTGCTTTTAGCAAAATAACACTGTCGGCCAATAAAAAGCAGGTAAGATTATTACTGCTGTTCTTTATTTATTTTTTTGCATATATTTTACTCAACCTATTGATAGATCATGAAATCTAACAAAAACAAAACTCTAAAAAAAACATATAAGGCTGTGTGCATGATGGGTCCAAAATGTGTTTGTGTGTTTGGATGTGTGTGCTGTACTGTATTTTTATTTCTTATGAAAATAAATTAAATTATAAAAAAAAAATTCAATAGTTATTAATAATTCTGAGAACATATACAGTTTTCATTATTCTAACTAAAGAAACAGTGCATAAAATGTACTAAAACCGGCATAAAAAATAATCAAGCTTAAAATTTGAAAGTCATGAATG